TAGAATGCAACAACTGATGGTCTCGACTTACAATACACACACAATATTTCGACTGCGGCTGGCGCTTTTATACCGAAAAATTGCCAAAAATTCAGGGGCGTGCGGTCGATGGAAGAATCTTAGAATTCCCTAGAACTCGACCAACTAAATGTTGGTCCGAGAATTTTACTCATTTTGTACCAAACCGCAACAACAAACAACAAACTTAGGGGTCGAGTCTTCATAACAAATTAGGCCATAGAACAAGACTTAGACAATTTTGAACCTTTAATTTACCAAACAAATATTGGCTATCGGGTGCAATTTCCAGAACAGTTTTCAAAAATTTTTCAAAGAAAAGTTCGAATGAGCAACTTCCTTCAAATTTTTGACGAGGTTCTGTTCATAGCAAGTAGTTCGTAGTGGCTTTCTGCTCAGCATTTGTGTAGTATTTGGGGGTCTTGAATTTTCGTGTAACATTATATGAAGAGGTATTTAGTAACAGCCGAGTTTCAGTTTACTAATTAAGCAATTTTATTTGCCGAATAGAAATTTACTGTAACAGAACTATGCGTTTGATTTACAGGGCGTAAAATACAACTTACTTAGATAGCTGATACAAGGGCGGAAAAAAGCAGCGTCATGTTCAAGTGGATTTTGCACTCAAGAAAAAACGTGCAAATCTAAAACTGCTTGAATTCAAGCATTTTTTGAAAAAACTGCCAACATTTCCTTATCGATGTATATAAAAAGTATAAGACATATTCCGTTACTACGTCGTTTAACGATACTTTTAGCTGAACATTACATCAACATTTTTTCTACCCTTGAGGAAAAGCTTTCGATGTGATATGCCACAAGCATGGCTTTCAATATGTATTTTTGATACTGTTGGTTTTCTGTCGGTTGAGTGCTAAATAGCTGAAAAATCCGCCGCCCCCCAGATTGTGCGTCCAAAAATATTCAAAATCTTAATAGAGGAAAATGGGCAAAATTATCAAAATACCCAGATACATATTTAACGTAAACTTAACAGATGTTTAAAAAATCAACAATAAGAATTTGGATAGAATTGCAATAGAATTTAACAACTTTCAAATGCCAAATAGCTTCAAGGTATACTGAACAAGTCAGTAATCCAGATAGGGACTTCGAAGACTTTTTTCTACCGAAAATGAAATCAAATAAATATAATATTGTTCCTGGTATTATTTACCTACTGATTGATCATATATATCATATATCCCAAATCAAATTCATTCCTGGGTTTCAGTATTAATTTTGTCGATTATCGGACACAAAACGAATAAAATGCTCAGTATTTTTTACTCCAAATACATGCCAAGGCTTAAAGCAGCAGCAACGCTACACATAAAATCTGATGATGGTGGAAAAATACACCGAAACGTATTTTGATTGATAGAGACAATAAATGAATGAATTTGATTTGGAATTGAAACAGTCAGAAAAGTATATACAATATCATATATCGTAGTTTATTTTATATTTCTTCCGAGTACGATCTGAGATTAGTAAAATTGGGCTCAAGTGGCCAATTTTACGACTTATTT